GCTTCCCAGCCAACTGGCACCTTGAAGAAGCTAATCAGCGCTGGGCTGTTCAATACTCCTTCGCCCTTGACGCTCTGGATTAAAGTTGCTGGCGTCGCCATGAAGGGGTCAATCACATCCACTGTCACCAACTACTGAGTGGCATGCACGGTATTAGAGAGTTTCACAGTGGTTAGGGACGGACTTTGTGCTTCGGATTTTGATGTTTGTATTGCTGACAGAGCAAATGATTTTTTATGGATTGTCCTGCACAATTACGAAAATATATGGATTGTCCTTTACTAGCAGACGATTCAATTCAGAAATTCATACAAAGACTTTTTCAGCTCTTCAAACACACTGGATTTTGTTAAGAGTCCCTAAAGCATAACACAAGGTTTATGTTTGGGACCCTCCTGTTTAGAGCCATGATACACACTATTATGTTCGTGCCCTCCCCTCTCATGCACTTGGGTGAATACACAACACAAAACAAAACAACACAGTACTGCATTGCACTGAAATCCCCACCATGCATCCCACCAGAACAGCCGCACACATCACATTAGCGCCCCCGATGCCTTGGTGTTGCTCGACCGCCCCAGCGCGCGCGGTGACTCCTGAAAAGACGGGTGTCAGAGGTCCACTGGAGATCCCCGATTGATCCTAGGGAAGGGTTACAGGCACGTCGGCCTGGGGGGTTATGGGCGCACTCACCCGCTATACAAACAAGCCCTTCTAATCAAACTCTATATATATGAATGCTGTAGTATAGTCTGTAGGCTGTAGTGGGGTAGCCCATATGGGGTACAGCCCAATGTTAGGGTTTCTATTTGTACCCACCTTTCTCATAGTTCATTCATTCCAGCCTGTAGATTCTGACATGGTTTCAGAGCAGTAGGTCCGTAGGACCGTTTTTTTTTTTTCGGGCCCACCTACTGTTGCGATTACTGAGCTGCCCCACGTCTTGCCTGCGCTGCGCCGCTCGCGCGCGCCCTGCCTTGCCTGCGCTGCGCCGCCCGCGCGCGCCCTGCCTAGCCTCCGTGACGTGCTGCCCTGCGCGCGCCGTCTTGTAGCCTTCGCGCTGCCTGCTGCTGCCCCGCGTCGCGTTGCCCCGCGCATGCCCTGCCCTGCCCCGCATTGCGCTGCCCCGCACACGCCCTGCCCTGCCCTGCGCCAGCGCCCTGCCCTGCGCCAGCGCCCTGCCCTGCGCCGGCGCTGTGCCCTGCGCCAGCGCCCTGCCCTGCGCCAGCGCCCTGCCCTGCGCCAGCGCCCTGCCCTGCGCCAGCGCCCTGCCCTGCGCCAGCGCCCTGCCCTGCGCCGGCGCCCTGCCCTGCGCCAGCGCCCTGCCCTACGCCCGCGCCCTGCCCTGCGCCAGCGCCCTGCCCTACGCCCGCGCTGCTGCCCTGCGCGTCGCACCCTACGACAGCCCGTGCGTCGCGCGCTGCTGCCCCGCGCGTCGCGCTCTGCGGCAGTCCGCGCGTTGCTGTCCCGCCCGTTGCGCCCTGCGGCAGCCCGCACGTCGCGCGCTGCTGGCCCGCGCGTCGCGCCCTACGGCAGCCCGCGCGTCGCGCGCTACTGCCCCGCGCGTCGCGCTTTGCTGCAGCCCGCGCGTCGCGCCCTGCTGCCCTGCGCGTCGCGCCCTGCTGCAGCACGCGCGTCGCGCCCTGCTGCCCTACATAGCGCGCACCCTGCTACCCGCGCAGCCCAGGCCGAGCCGAGCCGCCCTACCCGATGCGATCCGCCCTCCTACTCGTACTACTACTGCTGCTGGTGGAGGTGCTGCTAGGAGTGCTAGAGGTGCTGCAGCCTAGACTCACCGGGCCGCTCAAGTGCTCTTACTGCTGCTACTGCTGCTCGTGCGCCTCCTCGCTTACCCGCTATGACTTCCCTTCGTAGTAGCGGTGGGAGTGGTGACGGCGGTAGTAGCAGTCGCTGTGGAGCTGTTCGGTGGGGAGTGTCTCGCGCTGGCCAGAAGCAGCTGCAGCGGCGTCCGCGCGAGACCCTTACGCCCCAGCAGCTTCGTGAGTGGTACGCCAGGTGGTGTGCTGGCGGCGGCCGTCGTGGCAGTCGCGGTGGAGCTGGTCAGTGCGGAGTTCCTGGCGGTGGCCAGATGCAGCTGCAGCGGCGTCCGAGCGAGACCCTTACGCCCCGGCAGCTGCATGAGTGGTACGCTCAGAGTTGGGGGTGTAGGACTACTGCTCGCTGCCCGTACGTCATTTGCACAGGTGATCGGGCTGGTCAGACCTGCGGGACAGTTAGTCACACAGAGTCCCGCTGCTTCTCCCGTCTGAGCGACGCTTGGCGAGCACGGTTTGGCGACGAGGCTGAGCTACCCCTCTGGCTAGAGCTGCTTCGAGACGGAGTAGATATATTTGCTCTAGACTATGACACTATCCTTACTGCCATGTATGCTCTGACTGGTACTACTGAGGGTGACTGTTACCTGTGTGTGCCCCCTGACCCTGGTATAGCAGCTGCTGCTCTAGGTGCTAGTGAGTCTGCTCTCTCTAGTACTGCGCCTACTGAGGCCTTGCACACCTTCACGCTTGACTCAGGTGCTTCCCGCTGTTTCTTTCGAGACAGTACCACAGTCACTCCCCTCCCTGCACCTGTCCCTGTCTCACTGGCTGACCCCTCTGGGGGCCCAGTGCTTGCACGGTCCAGTACTGTGCTCCCGTGTCCGGCGGTCCCGTCCGGTGAGCTGTCAGGTCTCCACATCCCCTCGTTCTCTACGAACCTAGTGAGCAACGCCGTCCTTCAGGATCATTGGGTTGACACCTTTACTCCTGGAGGACAGCGTGTGGCGATCTGTACGTGCTCTAGGACTGGCCGCCACCTGGCCACGTTCACACGTGCGCCAGGGTCCAGTCTGTACACCCTCACCACTGTGTCGCGCTACACCCCTGTGTCTCCTCAGCTGTACGCGTCCGCTCAGGTAGCTACCCAGTGTGAGTGTCGCCGCCTGTCGCACGACACTCGTCTGTGGCACCACCACCTTGGTCACCCCTCCCTGCCCCGCCTTCGTGGCATGCACTCTCGCCTACTGGTCTCTGGCCTTCCCAGGTCTCTGCCCGCCCTCCCTCCCTCGCCTGCCCCGCCCTGCATTCCTTGCGTCGAGGGGCGGCAGCGTGTCACTCCTCACTCCTCCTCGTTCCCTCCCACAAAGGCTCCCCTGCAGACTCTCCACCTGGACGTGTGGGGCCCAACCCGCGTCCAGGGGCAGGGCCGCGAGCGGTACTTCCTGCTGGTCGTCGACGACTACACGCGTTACACCATGGTCTTCCCCTTGCGCAGCAAGGGTCAGGTCCCTGATGTTCTGATCCCCTGGATCCGCGCTGTTCGTCTCCAGCTCCGCGAGCGGTTCTAGTCGGACTTTCCTGTCCTGCGTCTGCACTCTGACAGAGGTGGTGAGTTCACCTCCGACCTCTTGCGAGCTTTCTGTGAGGAGCACGGCATCCGCCAGTCGTTCACGCTTCCGGCCTCTCCACAGCAGAATGGGGTTGCTGAGCACCGCATTGGCTTAGTCATGGAGGTAGCTCGTACCTCCATGATCCATGCGGCTGCCCCCCATTTTCTGTGGCCGTTTGCGGTCCAGTACGCCGCGCATCAGCTCAATCTCTGGCCCCGTGTCTCCTTGCCGGAGACCTCGCCCACACTGCTGTGGACGGGGGAGGTTGGCAAAGCGTCGCGCTTCCGGGTCTGGGGTGCTCGTGCCTTTGTCCGCGATACCACTGCGGACAAGCTCTCTGCTCGCGCCATTCCCTGCGTCTTCCTTGGTTTTCCTCCTGACGCGCCTGGCTGGCAGTTTTACGACCCCGCTTCGCGCCGTGTCTTTGCGTCTCAGGACGTCACCTTCGACGAGTCGGTCCCCTTTTACCGTCTCTTTCCCTACCGCACTGCCGCTCGCCCCCCCCCCCTCCGCTCTTTCTCGCTCCAGGTCCTCCCCAGGTAGACCCCCTCCCTTCGCCAGGTCCTGCTCCTTCAGGTGTTTCTCAGGTAGACCCTCCTGTGCCTGAGCCTGTTGAGGTCACTGGTGACTCAGGTCCTGCTGGGGGTGGTCCTGCTCGGGGTGCTCTCTCAGGGGGTGCTGTGCCTGGGGGTGCTGCGTCTGGGGGTGCTGAGCCTGAGCGTGCGAAGCCTAGGGGTGCTGAGCCTGGGGGTGCTGAGTCTGGGGGTGCTGAGCCTGAGCGTGTGGAGCCTGGGGGTGCTGAGCCTGGAGGTGCTGAGCCTGAGCGTGAGGAGACTGGAGGTACTACGTCTGGGGGTGCTGCGTCTGGGGGTGCTGAGTCTAGGGGTGCTGAGCCTGAGCGTGAGGAGCCTGGGGGTGCTGAGTCTGGGGGTGCGGCGCCTGAGGGTACTGAGACTGCTTGTGCGCGGTCTCCTTGGAGTGGCCGCCTTCGTCCGCGTGCGCCTCTCTCCCCACAGCAGCTGCACGAGTGGTACGCTCGCCGTCAGGGTCGCGCTGCTGGAGCTCGGGGCTCTGCCGCTGGAGGCGCTTCTGCTGACGTCCCTGGAGCTGGGGGTGCCGGTTCAGAGGGTACTGGGGCTGGTGCGAGAGGTGCCGACGACGCTGGAGCCGCTGGGCCTGAGGACGCTGGAGCTGTTGATACTGCTGACCCTGCTGTAGGAGGTGCTGTTGGGGCTGCTGACACTGGAGCTGGGAGTACTGCGGGTACTTTGTCTGCTGGAGGTGCTGGAGCCGCTAGACCCGGAGGTGCTCGTACTGGAGGTACTAGAGCTGCTGGGGCTGGAGGTGCTGCGTCTAAGGGTGCTACTGCTGGAGACACTGGGACTGGAGTTGCCGGTTCTGGGGGTGCTGCTGCTGGTGGCGCTGGTACTGGCGGTGCTGGCGCTGGAGGTTCTGCGGCTGCTGGTGGTGCTGGCGCTCGAGGAGCTGGCGCTGGAGGTTCTGGAGCTGCTGGAGGCACTGGAGCTACTGGTGCTGGTGGCACTGCTGCGCAGCGACTGTTCTTCTCTCCGCCGTCACCGTCGTCTCTGCCGCCTCCTGACACAGTGCTTCACCAGGTACCAAGAGGAAACGACTCAGTGAAGCCAGGTGGGCGGCGCAGCCAGATCTCCTCGTGCAGGCTGCCCTGCAAGAACGCTGTGCTGAAGTCAAGAGAGTGAAGCTCGTAGTCACGCCGAGCGGCAACGTGCAGCAGTACCCGAAGAGTGGTCATCTTCGGGGTAGGGGAGAAGGTCTGGAAGAAGTCAACTCCTTGTCGCTGACTAAAGCCTCGTGCAACGTAACGAGCCTTGAAGACAGTCGGAGAACCCGGCGGCCGTTTCACCCTGAAAATCCACATGCCATCGACTATGTTCGCCCTAGGAGGGGGAACTGCGTCGACGTAAGTGCCTGTGGACTTCCATGATGCCATCTCTGCGTCCATGGCTGTCTGCCACTGAGAGGAGTAGGGACTTGTAATCGCCTCTGCATAAGAGCGCGGGGTTGGGATGTCCAGTGCATCCGGGTCTCCCTCAGGTGCAAGCAGCATGGCCACGAGATGAGGTACAGCAGCCGCAAGAGACTCAAAGTCCTCCTGCCTGTCCTCAAGGACGTTCGTGCCAAGAGCACACTCACCCTCGACGGACGGAGGACAGACAGACTCAGAATCAGCAACAAGACTAGTGGCGTAGTCTAGACGACACGCAGCAGCAAAGTCAACAAGCTCAACAACTAAGGCAGACGCAGCAGTGGACTCAAACGAAGGGTCAGTGACAACAGTGGCCAGGAGACGCGTGACAGTAGGGCTGGCAGCACGAACCAAGTCAGACTCAAGAGTCCGGAACGTCAGGAAGAGAGGACGCAGGAGGAGATGGCAGAGGGACACGCTGTGGAACAGAGGAAGGACGAAGTGCCATAGTGTGAGTACCTGGCACAGGGGGAGGACGCGGACGAGGCACACGACGACCAGTGCGAGCAGGTGTGACAGGACGAGACGCAGGCTCACGATGCTCTGTAAGGGAGGCTGGCTGCTCAGTGTAACGAGGGGGGGCAAGCAACGGTGAGTCTGGAGGAAGGGCGGTGGACGAAGGAAGACTAAGAACCTGACAGAGCAAGCGTCAAGGTAGTTGGGAGCAGTGACAGCTGCGATGACCGCAAGAAAAACGGTCGCTGCTGCACAGTGCCCCCAGCACCAGTACCTCGAGCTCCAGGGCCTCCAGCGCCAGCGCCTCCAGCTCTAGCGCCTCCAGCTCCAGCACCTCCAGCTCTAGTGCCTCCAACTCCAGTGCCTCCACCTCCAGCGCCTCCAGCTCCAGCATCTCCAGCTCCAGAGCCTCCAGCTCCAGCGCCTCCAGCTCCAGCGCCTCCAGCTCCAGTGCCTCCAGCGTCAGTGCCTCCAGCTCCAGCAGCGCCACTCCGAAGGCGGTGTGCCGAGCAAACCACTCGCGCAGCTGCTGTGGTGAGACCGGCTCCCGCCGGCTAGACCGCTGCGGCGAGGCACCCGTAGGACCTCCAGCACAGACAGCACCCCTAGGCTCAGCACCCCCAGGCTCCGCACCCCCAGACGCAGCACCTACCCTCAGACTCAGCACCCCTAGTCTCAGCACCCCCAGGCTCCCCACCCTCAGGCTCAGCACCCCCAGGCTCAGCACCCCCAGACTCAGCACCCCCAGGCCCAGCACCCCCAGGCTCCGCACCCTCACGCTCAGCACCCCCAGACTCAGCACCCCTAGGCTCAGCACCACCCCTAGCAGCATCAAAGTCCACAGCAACCGGCTGCAGAGGCGGCGAAGACGGTCGAGGTGGAAAACCCGGAGGGGTCTCCAAGCGTGGTGAGCGGTTGGGGGCCGCCGCGTCGTCAGCAGCAACGTCACCCCCCTCAGCTGGGCCAGAGGTGTCGGAAGTGACCTCGAAAGGCTCAGCCAAGGGGAGTGGGTCTACCTGAGACACACCTGAAGGAGCAGGACCCTGAAGGGGGAGGGGGTCTACCGGAGGGGGACCTGGAGCGAGGAAGAGCGGCGGGGGAGGGGGGCAGTGCGGTAGGGGAAGAGATGGTAAAAGGGAACCGACTCGTCAAACGTGACATCCTGAAGGACAGAACACGACGCGTGGTGGGGTGGTAAAACTGCCAGCCAGGCGCGTCAGTGGGAAAGGAACGCAGGGAATGACGCGAGAGGAGAGCTTATCCGTAGTGGTATCGCGGGCAAAGGCACGAGACCCTGAACCCCGACGCATCGCCAACCTCCTCCGTCCAACGCAGTATGGCGAGGTCTTCGGCAAGGAGACACGGGGCCAGAGGTTGAGCTGATGCGCAGCGTACCGGACCGCAAACGGCCACAGAAAATGGGGAGTAGCCGCATGGATCATGGAGGTGCGAGCGACCTCCATGACTAAGCCAATGCGGTGCTCAGCAATCCCATTTTGCTGCGGGGAGGCCGGAAGCGTGAATGACTGGAGGATGCCCTCCCCACGACAAAAGTCCTGCAGGAGATGGGAGGAGTTTTCACCACCTCTGTCAGAGTGCAGACGCAAGACAGGAAGGTCCTGGCAGAACCGCTCGCGGAGCTGAAGATGAACAGCGCGGATCCAAGGGATCAAAACATCAGGGACCTCCCCCTTGCTGCGCAAGGGGAAGACCGTGATGTAACGCGAGTAGTCGTCAACAACCAGCAGAAAGTACCACTCCTGGTCCTGTCCAAGGCTCAGCCCCACACATCCACACATCCATATGGAGAGTCTGCAGGCGAGCCGCCGTCGGGGGAAACGAAGAGGAGTGAGGAGCGGCGCGCTGCCGCCCCTCGACGCAAGGAAGGCAGGGTGGCGCAGGCGAGGGTGGGAGGGGAGGCAGAGACCTGGGAAGACCAGAGACAAGGCGGCGCGAGTGCATGCCACGGAGGCGTGGCAGGGAGGGGTGACCAAGGCGGTGGTGCCAAAGGAGAGTCTGGTGCGACAGGAGGCGACACGAACAGAGGGCTGGTACCTGACCTGACGCGGACACCTGACCAGACGCAGCCACCTGAGCAGGCTCAGTAGTCAGTGTGTACAGGCTCGACCCCGGCCGACGGGTGAACGTGGCTAGGTGACGGCCCGTCCGTGCACACGTGCAGAAGGACCTGCTGCACCATGTGTGATTGAGTCAGGGTGATGGTGCGCCATGCTCTGTCCCCAGTGCTCTGGACGGTGTCTCACTGGCGCAACGTGGTGTGCCAGGATGCTAAGAGGGTGTGCAAGGTCAGGTCGAGTGCAGGTTATCAGATAGATGAGGCAGCCCACAAGCTCTGGATACGGGCCACTCGGCTCTACGGACTCGTCCGAAGGTGGAGCTAAGAGCGAGTGACCGGTAGGCAGAGGAGTGGACTGTGGCGAGGAGAACTGGAAGCCGAAGCGCTGAAGGACCTGTTGCACCATGTGTGATTGAGTCAGGGTGATGGTGCGCCATGCTCTGTCCCCGATGATCTGCAGGCCAAGATAGTTGCGCAGCTCACCCAGGTCAGTGCACGTGTGTCTCTTCTGCAGCTTCGACTTCACAAGGGCCAATGTCTCAGTGTCAGCAGCGGCAAAAACCAAGTCGTCGACGTACACGAGGATGTAGAACGGCGGCAGCGAAGTGTCGGTGCGCAGATTCAGCGACGGGTCAGCAGTCGAAGGAGCAAACCCAAGAGCCGCAAGTGTTGTCCTCAGTGTGTCGTGCCACTCACGAGGCGCCTGGCGGAGACCGTAGACTGGCCGCCGGAGGCTCCACTTGGTACCAGGAGGAAACGACCCAGTGAAGCCAGGTGGGCGGCGCAGCCAGATCTCCTCGTGCAGGCTGCCCTGCAAGAACGCTGTGCTGAAGTCAAGAGAGTGAAGCTCGTAGTCACGCCATGCGGCAACGTGCAGCAGTACCCGAAGAGTGGTCATCTTTGGGGTAGGGGAGAAGGTCTGGAAGAAGTCAACTCCCTGCCGCTGACTGAAGCCTCGTGCAACGTAACGAGCCTTGAAGATAGGCGGAGAACCCGGCGGCCGTTTCACCCTGAAAATCCACATGCCATCGACTATGTTCGCCCTAGGAGGGGGAACTGCGTCGACGTAAGTGCCTGTGAGCTTCCATGATGCCATCTCTGCGTCCATGGCTGTCTGCCACTGAGAGGAGTAGGGACTTGTAATCGCCTCTGCATAAGAGCGCGGGGTTGGGATGTCCAGTGCATCCGGGTCTCCCTCAGGTGCAAGCAGCATGGCCACGAGATGAGGTACAGCAGCCGCAAGAGACTCAAAGTCCTCCTGCCTGTCCTCAAGGACGTCCGTGCCAAGAGCACACTCACCCTCGACGGACGGAGGACAGACAGACTCAGAATCAGCAACAAGACTAGTGGCGTAGTCTAGACGACACGCAACAGCAAAGTCAACAAGCTCAGCAACTAAGGCAGACGCAGCAGTGGACTCAAACGAAGGGTCAGTGACAACAGTGGCCAGGAGACGCGTGACAGTAGGGCTGGCAGCACGAACCAAGTCAGACTCAGGGTCCGGAACGTCAGGAAGAGAGGACGCAGGAGGAGATGGCAGAGGGACACGCTGTGGAACAGAGGAAGGACGAAGTGCCATAGTGTGAGTACCTGGCACAGGGGGAGGACGCGGACGAGGCACACGACGACCAGTGCGAGCAGGTGTGACAGGACGAGACGCAGGCTCACGATGCTCTGTAAGGGAGGCTGGCTGCTCAGTGTAACGAGGGGGGGCAGGCAGCGGTGAGTCTGGAGGAAGGGCAGTGGACGAAGGAAGACTAAGAACCTGACAGAGCAAGCGTCAAGGTAGTTGGGAGCAGTGACAGCTGCGATGACTGCAAGAAAAACGGTCGCTGCTGCACAGTGCCCCCAGCACCAGTACCTCGAGCTCCAGGGCCTCCAGCGCCAGCGCCTCCAGCTCTAGCGCCTCCAGCTCCAGCACCTCCAGCTCTAGTGCCTCCAACTCCAGTGCCTCCACCTCCAGCGCCTCCAGCTCCAGCATCTCCAGCTCCAGCGCCTCCAGCTCCAGCGCCTCCAGCTCCAGCGCCTCCAGCTCCAGTGCCTCCAGCGTAAGTGCCTCCAGCTCCAGCAGCGCCACTCCGAAGGCGGGTGCGCCGAGCAAACCACTCGCGCAGCTGCTGTGGTGAGACCGGCTCCCGCCGGCTAGACCGCTGCGGCGAGGCACCCGTAGGACCTCCAGCATAGACAGCACCCCTAGGCTCAGCACCCCCAGGCTCCGCACCCCCAGACGCAGCACCCCCAGACTCAGCACCCCTAGGCTCAGCACCCCCAGGCTCCGCACCCTCAGGCTCAGCACCCCCAGGCTCAGCACCCCCAGACTCAGCACCCCCAGGCCCAGCACCCCCAGGCTCCGCACCCTCACGCTCAGCACCCCCAGACTCAGCACCCCTAGGCTCAGCACCACCCCTAGCAGCATCAAAGTCCACAGCAACCGGCTGCAGAGGCGGCGAAGACGGTCGAGGTGGAAAACCCGGAGGGGTCTCCAAACGTGGTTAGCGGCTGGGGGCCGCCGCGTCGTCAGCAGCAACGTCACCCCCCTCAGCTGGGCCAGAGGTGTCGGAAGTGACCTCGAAAGGCTCAGCCAAGGGGAGTGGGTCTACCTGAGACACACCTGAAGGAGCAGGACCCTGAAGGGGGAGGGGGTCTACTGGAGGGGGACCTGGAGCGAGGAAGAGCGGCGGGGGAGGGAGAGTGCGGTAGGGGAAGAGATAGTAAAAGGGAACCGACTCGTCAAACGGACAGAACACGGCGCGTGGTGGGGTGGTAAAACTGCCAGCCAGACGCGCCAGTGGGAAAGCCAAGGAACGCAGGGAATGGCGCGAGAGGAGAGCTTATCCGTAGTGGTATCGCGGGCAAAAGCACGAGACCCTGAACCACGACCGACGCATCGCCAACCTCCTCCGTCCAACGCAGTATGGCGAGGTCTTCGGCAAGGAGACACGGGGCCAGAGGTTGAGCTGATGCGCAGCGTACCGGACCGCAAACAGCCACAGAAAATGGGGAGCAGCCGCATGGATCATGGAGGTGCGAGCGACCTCCATGACTAAGCCAATGCGGTGCTCAGCAATCCCATTTTGCTGCGGGGAGGCCGGAAGCGTGAATGACTGGAGGATGCCCTCCCCACGACATAAGTTCTGCAGGAGGTGGGAGGAGTTTTCACCACCTCTGTCAGAGTGCAGACGCAAGACAGGAAGGTCCTGGCAGAACCGCTCGCGGAGCTAGAGACGAACAGCGCGGATCCAAGGGATCAAGACATCAGGGACCTCCCCCTTGCTGCGCAAGGGGAAGACCGTGATGTAACGCGAGTAGTCGTCAACAACCAGCAGAAAGTACCACTCCTGGTCCTCAGCACTACAGGTAACAATCACCCTCAGCACTAACAGTCAAAGCATACATGGCAGCAAGGATTGCGTCTTAGTCAAGAGCAAAGATATCCACATCGGTCCTAAGCAGCTCTAGCCAGCGGGGGAGCTCAGCCTCGTCGCCAAACTCTGTGCGCCAGGCGTCGTCAAGACGGGAGAAGCAGCGGGACTGTGTGTGACCAACCTTCCCGCATGTCTGACCAGCCCGATCACCTGTGCGAATGACGTACGGGCAGCGAACACTACCCCCAGACGCCCCACGCTGAGCAAACCACTCACGAAGCTGCTGGGGCGTAAGGGTCTCGCAGGGACGCCTTTGGCCACCGCCATAACCTCCCCTATGGACCGCGCCACCCCGACCGCCACCACTGCCGCCGCCACCACTCCCACTGCTGCCACCACCGCCGCCACCACTCCCACCGCTACCACCACCGCCGCCACCGACGCCTCCACCCCCACCACTACTCCCATCACCACTCCCACCGCCACCACCGCCACCTCCACCACCTACACCACCTCCTCCACTGCCGCCACCCCCACCACTCTTGCCTCCCTTGCCCTTGCCGCTGCGGCGCCTCCCACTAGGAGCAGACGCAACCTCGACCTCCTCAGCACGAAGGAAGTCAACAGCAGCAGCAGAAGCGACTGAAAGGGCAAGGGGGGAGGGGGAACACCCCTCAAAGAAGGGAGTGCGAGGAGTGCCACGAGAAGCAGCTACAGCGACTATGCTAGTCTCAGCTGCAAGGAGATGCTTCTCGAGCAGGTCGATAGTCAGGTCTGTGGGGTCAAGGGCGAGAAAGTGGTCCCTGACTGCGCGAAGAGAGTCAGGGAGGCGGGTGACTTTAAAGTAGAGAGTGACGTACATTGGGGGGGGGGGGGGGGGGGGGGGGTTCTTGTCTAGAAACTCGGATTTAAGCGCGGCGCGGTAGTGAGTGTCGCTAGTGCGAAGATGGGCGATGAGATCGTCGACTGTGGAAAAGGCTGACAGCTCAGAAAAGAGGTAGGGCAGTATGAGTCGGCCTAGAGCAGCAGTGGCAGGTATCAGAAAGAATAGGAGCGTGGCCTAGGCTTAGTAGCCTAGGCCACAGTAGGAGGTAGTAGGTTGTGCCCTAGGACTAGGGTTTGGGGTATACGAAGGAGAATTGGAGAAGTGAGAATGGGAATGATGGATTGAACTAGCAAGCAGCAGGATACATATAGGAAACCCTAAGGGGTTGTACTCACTATTGAGCACCCCACTGCAGGCTAGACAAATAACATAATCTGACACACCCCCATAGCCAAAGTGGGGTGTAATCAGCACACGTGAGAAGTCACAGCAATAGTTCACAATTATCAGCAAAGCTAGTGGCAGTCACAGGAGGCCAGTGAGGAGGAGGAGGAACTGTGGAGGGAGAGAAGAGAGGAGGCGACGACTGAAGTTGCAGACACACGGGCACCAGGAGCACCAGGCTGCAACCTCCTCCAACTGTCTCACTCCCCCCTACACACACCCCCAGGGTCACCACTCGCTCCACGCCCACATCACCCCCCTAGCGCCACTCCCTCGTCTCCCACACATCCACCCCCGCAGCGGCAGCTGCAGCAGTGGGAGACGGAGGAGAAGGAAGGGGCGACGCACACGGAGCACCCCCACACCCGCCACCCCCACACCCTCCTGTCCAGGGGACCCAGGGGCGGGGGGGGGGGGGGAAGGGCCGGGGCGGGAGAGCGCACGAGGGCGCAGGCAACCGCGCGTGCAGAGCAACAGCGCGGAGCAGGTAGGGTAGAGCGCACGAGGGCGCGGGCAGCCGCGCGTGCAGAGCAACAGCGCGGAGCAGGTAGGGTAGAGCGCACGAGGGCGCGGGCAACCGCGCGTGCAGAGCAACAGCGCGGAGCAGGTAGGGTAGGGCGCACGAGGGCGCGGGTGAGACTGAGCGCGACTGCACAGGGTCCAGGAGCGGCGTCGCGGGCAGCTGCATGGTCGGCTGCTGCTGGTGCGGTTGCTCCAGGGGCGGCGACTGAGGTTCTAGGGGCGGCTGCACCAGGGGCGGCTGCTCCACGGGCGGCGTCGCGGGTACAGGGGCGGCTGCACCAGGGGCGGCTGCTCCAGGGGCGGCGGCGCAGGTCCAGGGGCGGCTGCACCAGGGGCGGCTGCTCCCTGGGCGACGGCGCAGGTCCAGGGGCGGCGGCACCATGGGCGGCTGCTCCAGGGGCGGGGTCGCGGGTCCAGGGGCGGCTGCACCAGGGGCGGCGGCTCCAGGGGCGGGGTGGCGAGTCCAAGGGCGGCTGCACCAGGGGTGGCCGCTCCAGGAGCGATGGCGCTGGCGCAGGGGCGGCTCGCGCGCTGTTGCAGGGGCGGTTTCGCGAGCTGCTGCAGGGGCGGTGTCGCGAGCGACGGGCGACGGGGGGAGAGCAGCAGGCGGGCCCCCGGAAGGCGCCGCGACGACCAGTGACGGCGCCCAGGGGGCGTCGTGTCGTGTAGGGGCGACGCCGCGCGGGTCCCGCAGGGGCGTCGCGACGAGCAGGGCGACGCCGCGCGGGTCCCGCAGGGGCGTCGCGACGAGCAGGAGCGGCACCCAGGGGGGGGGCGCCGCGACGAGCAGAGGCGGGCCCCCTGAAGACGCCGCGACATGCGACGGCAGGGAGCAGCACGCAGGCCCCCCGGAGGGCGCCTCGACGGACGGGATAACCGCCGCGCGCCCCGAGCGCGCGGCGGGTAGAATAAGCCGCCACACGCTCGAAGCGCGTGGCGGGAAGAAAAATCCAGTGCCGCGCACCACGGAGCGCGCGGCGAACAGTAGGGCAGCGGAAGCAGTTGGTGGGCCCGTTGAGCTAGGCAGCAGGATCTTGCCCGCTCTAGATACCATATCAGAAAGAATAGGAGCGTGGCCTAGGCTTAGTAGCCTAGGCCACAGTAGGAGGTAGTAGGTTGTGCCCTAGGACTAGGGTTTGGGGTATACGAAGGAGAATTGGAGAAGTGAGAATGGGAATGATGGATTGAACTAGCAAGCAGCAGGATACATATAGGAAACCCTAAGGGGTTGTACTCACTATTGAGCACCCCACTGCAGGCTAGACAAATAACATAATCTGACAGCAGGGGAGGAGTAACGAGCGGCTACAGCGTCAAACAGTGCTTAAGAAGTCTTGTGCTAGCCAAAGTGCGCACGTTCGGCTAACGGCATGTGGTTGCGAACGGTGAGGCGAGCAGTAGCGTCACGGGTAAGCCACTGTGAGCGAGTCGCACTGTCAGTTGTCTTAGGAGGAGCAAGAAGGGTCCCAGACGTGTGGTCAAACAAGGAGACGCCGTCCCTAGACTCGCTCTGTAGGTACAGCTGTAAGTCGTCTAGCCAGGTCTCAAACTGGATCGGACGGCCCTCAGAGACGAAGGTGAGAACACTAACAGAGGCCATAGCGGGCAGAGCAGGGTGGAGCGCGACCAACAGGGCAGCACGTAGGCAAGGCAGAGCGGCGCGCAAGCAGCAGGACGGCGCGACGGGCAGGGCAGGGCGGCGTGCGGGCACTAGGGAGGCGCGCAAGGCAGGGCGGGGCGGCGCACGACCAGGGAAGGGCGGTGCGCGGCCAGGGCAGGGCGGCGCGCTGCCAGCAGGGCAGCGCGCGGGCACGAGGGCGGCGCGACAGCAGGTCAGGGCTGCGCGCGGGCCCTAGGGTGACGCAACGGGCATGGCAGGTAGGCGCGCAGCCAGCAGGGCTGCGTGAAGGGTAGGGGAGGGCGTACGCGGGCGGCGCGACGCAGGGCAGGGCGTGCGCGGGGCGACGCGAAGCAGAGCAGGGCGTGCACAGGGTGGCGCGACGCAGGGCAGGGCGTGCGCAGGGCGACGCGACGCAGGGCAGGCCATGCGCAGGGCGGCGCGACGCAGGGCAGGGCGTGCGCGGGCAGCGCGGCGGGCAGCATGGCAGCGCGCAGCCAGCAGGGCGGCGCGACGGGCAGCAGGGCAGGGTGGCGCGGCCAGCAGGGCAGCGCGACATGCAACAGGGCAGCGCGACTGGTGGGGCAGCGCGACGGGCAGGGTAGGGCGCTACGGACAGGGTAACACGTTACGGGCAGGGAACTAGTCCGTGGGCCCTAAAAAAAACGGTCTTGGAACAAGACCTGCTCTGATACCATGTCATAATATTAAACAAGAATGGATGCATTGAGAACAAGCTGAGTACAAGTACTAACCCTTGTTGGGTTGTACCCCTTATGGGCTACCCCACTACAGCCTACACAACATAAACATTATCATGTTTTGACAATCCGAACTTGGTGGGTGTGGTAAGCAAGTTGGAAATGAGACATAGACGTGTAGTTTTCGATTCCTGGCATTTTCCTATGAGTTGCGATTGGTTTTCGATACATCTGTCAAGTAGCAATCGACTGGTGCATCGAAACCCTTCGAGTTGGTTCGACATATTTGGGCGAACACGCGCAGGACAACTGGCGTGTTAACATTTGTCCCATCTTTATTTCTATTGGCTGTCGGGCCATCCAACTTCACTCCAAATCGTACTCGCTTTAACGTGAAAATGCAATTTCATTGTGAACGACTGCTGTACCTAAAGTTCAAATGTAATATTTCAGTTATTAAAAGTCTGCACCAGAGTGAGCTAATTCGTAACAAGGGTTGACCTAAATGAATTGCACATCCATAAAGTTGAATAAACTTAATAAATACTAAGTGTACTAAACAGATGAAGTGAATGTCATACAACACAAAAACAATAAACAACGTAATTATTCAAAATGCACCTGGTATTAAACGTAGTGTAGAAACGGTTCCAGAATACAGTAAACATGTTTCTATTAAACTGGCATAAGGCATACATACAGAACATCTACACCTAATCTACACCTTCGGCTACCATATTTACCCGAAAAATAGACCCGGGGGTCTAATCCTACCCCAGAAAAAAAAGGGGGGTGTGTCAAACAATATGTTTAATATATACCCTGCGTGCTGTAGTTACTGTAGTTATTATTATTAAGAGTTGGTGGTGCACCTTCTTTGTTGCTTTGCTATATGTACCTTGTGTGCTATAGTGAAACACCTCTTTCCTTGCCTAAACTCTCTCGACACTTTCTCCTCTTCACCCTAGCATGGCTCCTCACCTCTAGCTACTATCTTAACATGGTAAAGAGCTGGTTCTTTCCCGGAACCTTCTCTTTTTTTTTTAAGAATCATGGGCCCGCCCGTACTACAGCGCGAAATGCGCTATTTTTTTTTTCTCCCCGTTCGCCCGTCGCGCGCGCCCTGCCCGTCCCCCCGAACGTGCCACGTCGGCTGCCTCGCGGACGCCCCGTCGGCTGCCCCGCGGACGCCCTGCCCGTCGCCCGCTGCCTCGCGGACACCCCGTCGGCTGCCCCGCGGACGCCCTGCCCGTCGCCCGCTGCCCCCCCGTTTCGTCGCCACGCGGCCCCCGTTTCGTCGCCCCCGTCACCCCGCAATCGCCAGAGTGGAGGCCAGCGCCGCGGCCAGCCGCCAGCGCCAGCAGCAGCTACCGCCGCCCCCCCCCCCCCGCCCTCCCTTCCGCGGCTTCCGTCGTGGGGAGGGGGGAGGGAGGGGGAAGGGGTTGTGGGGGGGGGGGCGGGTGTGAGGAGCCTGCCACTCCTCCCTCCCTTCCCTCTTCCTCTCTCCCTGCAGCAACTGTTGCTGTAGGGGGGGGGGGGGGAGAAGTGCAGAAGGGTGAGGGGGTGGCGGGAGAAGACAGGTGCGGCGGGTGTGAGGAGCCTGCCATCCCTCCCTTCCCTCTTCCTCTCTCCCTGCAGCAACTGTTGCTGTAAAGGGGGGGGGGAGAGAAGTGCAGAAGGGTGAGGGGGTGGCGGGAGAAGACAGGTGCGGAAGGTGTGAGGTTGACGGGGTTGAGTGACGAGGGGGGTGA